TTCTGTAGAGATATACACTGGACATAGCCCTAGGACTGAGCATCAACCTCATCGAACAACGAATTAAGCTTTTATAAGTAGAACTATGCTGATAAGGCCACAGACATTTATGCAGTAATATCTTGTTCACATATATTCACAGTCCAAAAATAGAATAAGGACATTAAGCCAAGATATGGGGCCAGTAGGTATAAACAGGAGGCCAGTAGGTATAAACAGGAGCCCAGTGGTAGCTGGTGGTGAATGAATATCAGGAGTTGGGCTGGGGTTGGGGTTTAGGATGGACAGTTTGATGATCCGGGATCTGTACTGTTTGGAACTTAGCACTCAACAGCTCTTCAGTAAATAGTTTTTTGAACTATTTAAAATGATGCAGGAAGATATTTTGAAACTTGGCAAGTAGTACCATTCTTCTTGGGTCTTGCAGAGGGTATTCCCTAGCTGAACTGAATTTTGGTGTTAGTATTAACTGGCATGGTTTTACACAAGTTTGTGGAATCAACAGCTATGAAGTACCTCCTTGTTGGAGGGCTGATGGGCAGATGGGAGCTCATCAGACAGCCCCCCTTCCCCCATCTCTCTTCTCAGCCTCTGTGTCCAGATGTTTGACTGGTTTGACTACCATGGCCACATGTGTATCTCCTTTGAGCTTCTGGGCCTTAGCACCTTCGATTTCCTCAAAGACAACAACTACCTGCCCTACCCCATCCACCAAGTGCGCCACATGGCCTTCCAGCTGTGCCAGGCTGTCAAGTGTGAGTGGGGTGGGCTGAAATGGACTCTCGGGCATCCCCTCCCTTCATTGGATCTCTCTGTCGGTTGTGTACTGGTGAAGCCCCTAAACAGTCAGCTCTCTGTTATCTGCAGTTGTTTTACTGTCATCTTGAAATGTCTTCTGACTTAGCTCCTTGACTAATGTCTTTATTGTCACTGACTGCTCTTACTCTACACCTAACCTAGCAGCAGCTAGAAGAGAAAGCCTTTGGAATCAAAGCACTTAATTACCCTCCCCTTTTCCTTTCCTCCCCTTCTTGGGAAAGCATCAGTCAGACAGCAAATATAAAGAAACAAAAATACACTCCTTAGGCTAAAGGCTTACATGTGTCTGGGATGAGATGTTCATGCAAAGCAAAGCAGATGTGAACACAGAGTATATAGTTCAGTTAAGGGGCAAGGTGGGGAATTCAAAGAAATACATTATTCCTCTGGAGTCATCAAAACAATACAGTTTCACAGAACTGAGTTCACATAATGCCAGCTAGACACATGTCAAAGTGTATACACACTATAACTCAAAGCAAACTCTTTTTTTTTTTTTTTTTTTTTTACATTAGTTGAGATACATATGTATCTTATTGTAGATAGAGCAGAGCTTCTTAGACCAGGCATTCCATTTAGACGTAGAGCAGAAAGCAGCCCTCTTGTGATTCTGGACCTGTCTCCTCACTGGCTTTGCCCTAGGTAACCAGGCCTGGGGTCAGCTGATACCAGTTAGCTCTGGCCACCTGCACCAAGCCTGACCTGGCCTTCTCCCCTACAGTCCTCCATGATAACAAGCTGACACATACAGACCTCAAGCCTGAAAATATTCTGTTTGTGAATTCAGACTATGAGCTCACCTACAACCTAGAGAAGGTAAGATGGATAGGGTCTGCCCTTGGTTACTGGGGGTAGGCAGCTGGGCCACTTTGCCTTCTGCCGAGCCCTTTCTTTTCTCCCTTTTTATTTTGTCCTGCCACATTTTCTCCCTGTCTGGTTCCAAGTGGGTAAAACTAGATAGGTTGAAAGGGAGAGATCTCTTAAGACTTAAATTGGGAGATAACTTGTACAGGGGACTTCAGATAACTTTCCAGTAGAGTGAAAAATTTTAAGGTTCTGTTTGGACTGACTGACTGATTTATTTATTTATTTGAGATTGGAGTCTCGCTCTGTTGCCCAGGCTGATGTGCACTGGCATAATCTTGGCTCACTGCAACTTCTACCTCCCAGGTTTAAGTGATTCTCCTGCCTCAACCTCTGGAGTAGCTGGGATTACAGGCACCCGCCACCATGCCTGGCTAGTTTTTGTGTTTTTGGTAGAGATGGGGTTTTGCCATGTTGGCCAGGCTGGTCTCGAACCCCTAACCTCAGAGGATCCACCTATCTCAGGCTCCCAGAATGCTGGGATTACAGGTGTGAGCCACAGCGCCTGGCCTGGACTTCTTTTTTGAGATGTATATTTCTGTGAGGTAGGAAAGCTTGGCTCCCTTGACTAGAGATGATGGAGATCTCAGACCTAAAGAAGCTCTCCCTCCCTTGACCCCTTTGCTGCATGTTATATATTTTCAGAGAAACCTCTTTGCTACATGTTACATTTTTTTCAGGAAAACCCATTTGCTACATGTTACATGTTTTCAGAATAACTGTATATCCGGCACTTGGGTGTAGTCTTCAGATGTTTACAGATGTGCACGCTGTTCTATAATCATTTATTAATCCTTTTGCTCCCCTACTTCTAAAAGTATTATGCTGGATGTGGTGGAAGCTGTAAAACAGGAAATTTCCCAGGGCTTGTGGGGCCAGGCAGGAGATCACAGTAGCTTTTTTAAGGCTCAGAAGCACGGTAGAGAATAGTGGTGGAATCTCAGTCTGGGTGCAGAGGTTCATCCTCTTCCTCCTCTGCTCCTAGAAGCGAGATGAGCGCAGTGTGAAGAGCACAGCTGTGCGGGTGGTAGACTTTGGCAGTGCCACCTTTGACCATGAGCACCATAGCACCATTGTCTCCACTCGCCATTACCGAGCACCAGAGGTCATCCTTGGTAAGGGAGGGCAAGGCTGTCCAAGTGTGTGAGATGATGTGGTGAGGGTGGGGCCACCTAAGCCTCATAACACCTTTTCCCTCCCATTCTCACCCAGAGTTGGGCTGGTCACAGCCTTGTGATGTATGGAGTATAGGCTGCATCATCTTTGAGTACTATGTGGGATTCACCCTCTTCCAGGTAAGTGATGGGATATCTTACTTGACCACCTGGCATTCTTCTACCTGGTTGCTTTGTTGTCTGCTGAGGACCTGCCTACTCAGTTCTCCACATTGCCCATCTTCCTGGCAGCTGGTCCTCAGCATGCCCTTTTCAGTCCCATGCTCAGTTCTGTTTTTGTTTCCCAGACCCATGACAACAGAGAGCATCTAGCCATGATGGAAAGGATATTGGGTCCTATCCCTTCCCGGATGATCCGAAAGACAAGGTGAACCTTGAGTGGGCACTAGTTAACCCTTTTCCTTTTCTCTCCACAGCATTGGTCTATTTCACATCAGTTTCTTTTTTCTTTGATGCCTCCTGTCCCCCCAGTTACTTTCAGATGGGGAAATAAGGGAATTGTAACAAGGGTGACCTTCTGATTCCTCAACCTCCCCTTCCCCTCTAGAAAGCAGAAATATTTTTACCGGGGTCGCCTGGATTGGGATGAGAACACATCAGCTGGGCGCTATGTTCGTGAGAACTGCAAACCGCTGCGGGTGAGCCAGGCTCGGGATAAATAGTGCCCACCATCCAGAAGTCACTTCTTAGGGTGGTTTGCCCCTGGAATGCTCTTCACAAGCAGAGGGTTAGGAAAGGAGGGGAGGAAAGCTGAAAGAAGACATCTTTGGTCAACAGAGGAAACATAAGAGGGAGTGGTTTTGTGGAGGGAAGGAGGTTAGACAGCCTAACCTTGAGACAACCAGAGATCAAAGCAATGTCCTGGATTCTTTAGGTCAGACAGAAAAGAATAAACTACCTTTGAAGAGCTTACATTTTAATGAGGAACTAAAGAAGATTCATGAAGTTGACAAGGATATACAAGTAGAAAGAACTTTCAAAGATTATGGAGTAATTGTGCTAGTGGGAAGGTAGGTTGAGCTATAATATCAGAAACGTTGGTCCTGGTGTGGTCGTGGTTAGGTAGCCTTCAAATTGGTTACAAGCAGAGCCTTGGTTCTCCAAGAATGAAAGGTAGGGTCTTGAAGAAGGCAGGGTTTATAAGGCATCCTGCCTCACCTTTTCCTGCCCTCCTCCACCAGCGGTATCTGACCTCAGAGGCAGAGGAACACCACCAGCTCTTCGATCTGATTGAAAGCATGCTAGAGTATGAACCAGCTAAGCGGCTGACCTTGGGTGAAGCCCTTCAGCATCCTTTCTTCACCCGCCTTCGGGCTGAGCCACCCAACAAGTTGTGGGACTCCAGTCGGGATATCAGTCGGTGACGATCAGGCCCTGGGCCCCCCTGCATCTTTTATAGCAGTGGGTGTCCAGTCCAGGACACTGGTGCTTTTTTATACAAGAGAACGAGCCAGAGTTCACTCCTTCCTCCTGGCTGGCTGTATACCTGTGAATATGTGAAATAGTGTAAATATGAAAGAACTTGTACCTATCACTTCAACCCCTGCCTTGTACATAATGCTCTTCCATGCACACAGTTTCCACCCTCACCTGCCCCCTCATACGGAGTTGGATGGGGACCGAGTGAGGTAACCAGGTGGCATCTACCCAATGTTTTATAAGGAATTTTGTACAGTCTTTGTGAAATAAAATAACGTGCTTCATTTGACCCCCATCCCTGGAGTTGGAGGTTTGGGAATGCTGGGGTGGAGGGATGAAATGATTGGCAAACTTTCTTGAGTTTTGGGTATGAAGGGAGTCCTTCTTACCCTCCAAAATTAAGCAGAGCCAGGCTACAAGTTTATTTCCCCTGTCCACCTTATAGGGGAGGATAGCGATGGGTGGGGCGTTTCTTTCAGATTAGAATAGAGAAGTGTTATATGGTGGCACTTCTCGGATGTGGAATCATGAGAGTTGGGAAAGATCTGACTCCTAGAGTCTTTGGGCCGCGCCCCAGTATAGAGCTAGAAACCCAGGTTGAAAACGTTCTTAACCTGACTCCTAGGGGTTTGGCAGGGCCGGTCAGAAGGCTCCCGTCGTCCATTTCGAGAGACTAGGAAGGCCGGATTCCTGCATGAGGCCTGCTGGGAAGTGTAGTTCGTTAGTGGAAGGAAGTCACATGGAAGAGGGGCGGTACTTGGTTGTGGGCAGTGGGTTAGCGATATCACGTGGGGGCTCTTCCGTCTTCGCTTTTGGCCAAGACGCAGGCGCAACCCACGGCTGCTGCGGGGATCCTTGTGGCCTTTCCGGTCGGTGGAACCAATCCGTGCACAGAGAAGCGAGGCGAACTGAGGCGAGTGAAGTGGACTCTGAGGTCTACCACTACCGCCACTGCTGCGGCAGGGGCGTGGAGGGAAGAGGGCCGCGGAGGTCGCAGTTGCAAACATGGCTCAGAGCAGAGACGGCGGAAACCCGTTCGCCGAGCCCAGCGAGCTTGACAACCCCTTTCAGGTGACTTGCGCCGGTCGGCCTCTTTTGGGCAGTCAGGTTGATTCTTCCCGGTTCTGTAGGGTCGGGCTACCTTGTATCCCCATTAGTGACATTTGATCCTGGGAAGAGCCGCCACGTGGGGTGACAGCGACTCTAGACCAGTCAGCACTCGGGGGGGCGGGCCCTGCCCCTTAATGGGCTGGTGCTGGCAGTGTTGGATGATGGATTCGAGGTAAATGTTGTCCCAGTCCTGGGACAACGGCGTGACCCCGAAGGTGCAGTACTTGGAGCCACAGGCAGTTTGGGAATGCTCCCCGGGAATTCCCCTAAGTGTCACCGGGCGCCATCTGAGCCCCAGGTCTCTGCCCTCAGGACCCAGCTGTGATCCAGCACCGACCCAGCCGGCAGTATGCCACTCTTGACGTCTACAACCCTTTTGAGACCCGGGAGGTGAGCTACTGGAGAGCACAGGAATTCAAGGAAGGGGAGGGTTTGCCAGTGAGACAAGTCAGCCTGGGTTCAGGGGACTTTTCTGCATGCACAGGAAGGAAGAGGCACTGTGATCTTAGTTCCCTGAGAGAGGCTAGTCAGCCATGGAATGTCTCATCCTTCTAGGGCCACCAGGGCCACCAACCCAAATGGTTTGAGCTCTAAAAGTCAGTCTTGGGAACATCTGGAGGCTGGCAAGGTTTTAACCAGTGTTCTGTATGGGAAGGCTTTCTTGAAGAAAAAGGTTGGGGCTGGTTGGAGTTTAGGTTAGGTGTGCAGTTTGAAAGCAAGGAATGAGGAGGACTACACCTGTTTGTCCCACTGGATTAGAAAATGGTGAGTTGTAAGAATTTAAGGGGTTTTCATGGTACTTAAAACTTAAAAAAAAAAGGGAGCGGGCGGGGGAGCCAAGCATGGTGTGCAAGCTTTTAATCCCACTTGGGAGGCTGAGGTGGGAGGATTGCTTGAGCCCAGGAATTTGATGGAGACCATCCTGGGCAACGGCGAGACCCCCATCTCTTGAACTGTTTTAAAAATTGGCTAGGTGGCCGGGCGCGGTGGCTCACGCCTGTAATCCCGGCACTTTGGGAGGCCGAGGCAGGCGGATCACCAGGTCAGGAGATCGAGACCATCCTAGCAAACACGGTGAAACCCTGTCTCTACTAAAAATACAAAAAAAAAATTAGCTGGTTGTGGTGGCGGGCGCCTGTAGTCCTAGGTTCTCGGGAGGCTCAGGCAGGAGAATGGCGTGAACCTGGGAGGCGGCGGAGCTTGCAGTGAGCGGAGATCGCGCCACTGCACTCCAGCCTGGGCAACAGACCGAGACTCTGTCT